TATCATCTGACACCTTCTTCTCTGCTTTCAATAGGTATCTCCTAGCTAGAACATTCTTCAGAGTTCTCTGTAGCCTGCACCTCAGCCTTCACCTCCTCGTCTCATTCTCTCTCCTTACCCTTCTCCAGTGGTCCCCAGTGACTTCCAGAGATGTCCTTAGGGTCTTCTTTCATAGTCACGGCAGTGGTTGATACTACAGTCCATACGGTCAATTTTTCTCCTGGACCGTCTCTTCCCTGGTCTTAGAGGCCCTTTCTTCTGAGTCAGCTCTGCCTTGCCTGTTCCCCCAGCCTCATGGGGTCTCTGTTCCCTCGTACTTTGGGCTTCTGCAGCAGCCTCCTGGCCTGTCGCCCAGCCCTTGCGCTACTCTCGTCCATGATGAATCTTCCCGAAGCTGTGTGCTCATCATGCTATTCTTTTCTTTTTAGTATTTTTAAAAATTTTACTGTTCATGTTATCTTCGCAAATATACCCAAATGGTAATGATAGCTAAGTGGTAGGCAAATCCCAGTGAACACAGTAAGAAGACGGTGATTTCTTAGTCATTTTTCATGAGGGAGGGAACACGGACTAGAGAGATGACCTGCTGGCTGAGCTGAAGAAATCTTGGTTAAAAACCCCCACAAAAAACGGTCCCCTACCCATTCTAGGGGGGGAGAAATATACAGCCTACCCCAAACCTAAATAAAATAAAATAAAGTAAAATAAAACAAAAAACAAAAACAATCTTCTCCCTCCAGCATCATGCTATTCTTTGGTTCAATGGTCCTTTGTGTAAGGATTGTGCCAGGGCTTCTCAGCCTGAATTTCAGATGCCTCTCCAGTCTGGCTCCAGCCTGCCTTTCCAGACCCATGTTCTCTCTGTTGACTTCCCCTCAGCATCAGAGCGCTTGGGTTATTTATTCAAGGACCCCGAGTACCTAATAAGCCTGAGCTTCCTGGACACTCTTCCCCAGGGAGGCCCTTCCCCATGCCTGTCAGCCTCACCAAACATGCCTCTCACCCAGGCCTGCCCAGAGGTCTCCTCTCAATGCCCCCACACCCCCCACGTGCCTTCCTGCTTGGTGTGTGTCCGTTTCTGCTTCCTGTTGCCAGTTCTCCGTCAACCTTGACTATTTATCTCCTCAATTAGATTGTTAGCTTCTGTAGAGCAGGAGTCTTCTTTCCTTGTAATAAATAGGTTGGGTTTTTCTCTGCCGTGTGTTTACATAACATGACAATGGTAGGATTCTGGGGTAGATGGGGTTGGGGAGGGGGTTGTGGGAGCTGCGAGTCATCAGCAGAGTTGGTGGAGCTGGTAACCTGAGTTTGCCCCTTCCCTGAAGGCACACCCGGGAGGTATCTGGGAGATGGCCTTCAGCTAGAAAACCAGGATTTATTGTGTAGCTAAGGAGAGAGCAAGGCTTTGAGATGGGAAAGAGAAAGTCTCTTTCTGTTCATGGACTGGGACAGACACAGTATAGGGTGTCTCCAGGGAAAGATGGCACCACATCCCTCATGGAGCCCACATGGCCTCCAGGCCTAGGCTGGCTGAGGACCCGGCATGGGCAGGACCACCCCAGAGCTGGGGTCCGGGGAAGAACATAGATGTGCGTCAAGGGAGGACTTCTAGGTCCTAGAGACAAAGAGGCCCCTGGAAGAAGAATGTGGGAGCTGTCCGCTGGATCACTCCAGGCGGCTGACATCACCGAGGAAGGCTTTTGAGATCCAAATGTGTACACGAAGACTAGGGACCAGTGCACGGCTCCCGAGCACCAGAGGAGCCGTAGTGCAAGGTGCAGGGGCCCGCCTGAGCTCTCTTTCTGCGGTTGGGACGAAGAATTTAGCTTTCGGAGGGAGTGATTGAGGCTTAGAAGCCTGAGCATATTTATGTGGCTTCTGTCCTGTGTGGCCTGTGGCGAGGGTAGGACCAGGATCAATGTACCGAGATACCCCAGGAGGCTGTACCTGCCAAGAGAAATTTTGGCTAAACAGCACCATTGTCAGTATCTGCAATGTGCTATGTAAACTTGCTTTTGTGAGTTGTGTTGTGTTTTGTTTTCCCTTAGCTTTTCAGTAAATATTTCTTTCAAAAGAATTCTAACCTCGTCTCTGCGACTTGAGGGGCAGTGGTATTTTTCCATGTGCCCATCCCGGTCAGCATGGAGACGGGCACCAGTGAGGAGGAGGGGGTGGTGGTGGACGCACGCCAGCTGGTGTGGTGGGGTTGTCGGGGGGCCTTGGTGCTGGTGCAGAGAAGGCATGGACGCCTAGAAAGAGGAGATGAGACCCGCTGTGGACACTGATCGCTACTGGCCAGGGACCTTATCCTTCTCTCATTCCCTAGGGGACTTAGCACAGTGCTGGGGATCTCATCGTTAGCCAGTCAGTGCTTGTTGGAGCAGATCCCTAGGGAATAATAAACTCAGGCTTCTCTGCAAAAGGGCAGCCCTCTGTCCTATGCTGGACTCTGTTACACTTTCCTAAAATGAAATCCTGCCACCTTGACGGGACCTTCCTTGCAGGGCTTCTGCCACCCGCAGCATATACTCAGTGGATCACAACATCATCAGTACACCTAATCTTTTAATCTTCGGTACTATGGACACATTCAATGTGATTATTCACTGACTTGGTGTCTACAGGGTCATACCCCATCACAGGCCATCCAGGCTTCGGTCTTTGAGGACACCAGAGAGCCTGACCAGTCCTGCTTGGCTACTCCCAGTATTCCTTGGCATTTGTTTGCTGGCAGCTAGGTGTGTGTTTGCTAAGATGGTGGCTGGGGGTGCCAAGCTTTGGGCTTGGAAGGGTCCGGGTTGGGACTTCAGTGACTGATGTCCTCATCTCTCCTTCCACAGCTTGTCTCCAATGTCCTCATTTTTTCCTGCACTAACATCGTGGGTGTCTGCACCCACTACCCGGCCGAAGTCTCCCAGAGACAGGCCTTCCAGGAGACCCGGGAGTGCATCCAGGCGCGACTTCACTCCCAGCGGGAGAACCAGCAGCAGGTGAGTGAGACCCTCCTGCCTCTGCACGGCTGGCAGGGAACAGACCCAAGAGCTGCCTCTCCAGCAGCTGCACTCCCTGCAGCTGCCAGACCCACCTCCCTGGTGGGGACCCAGCCCTGGGGGAATGTTTCCCTCAGAGGGAGTCCAGCATTTCTGGCTCTGTAGGAAAGCTCTAGGAGAGACTCTGGAAAAAGAGTTCTGCCCCTGAACTTGCTCATTGCCTCCTCCGCCCAGTGTCCCCTGTGGTTTTACAAATAAGCCAAGCAGCCCAGGCCTGACAGCAAGGAGGGGCCACTCCACCTCTCCCCAGGGGCTGATGAGTTGGATTCTGAGACTGTCAGCATTTCCACTTGGGATTGAGGGGGGTCAGGGGAGGACACCCAAGCTGTCAGCCCCTGTGACACCCACACTAGACACTTCCTCTGTGCTGAGTCCTGGGGTTGGGTTGGTTCAGAGGAAGGAAGGCATCCCTGTCTCATCCTAAACCTCACCCTCCTGGGACCCCTGGGCTGGGAGGCAGCCTGCTTAAATGGGCCACAGACTCGAGAGGCTTCTCCCAGTGAGCCTTGGGCAGAGGGACCTGCCTCTATGTGCTTCTCTTGGGTAAGGGTAGAGTGGGGACTGAAGGCTGTGTCAGGGCTCCTTTCCTGTCTGCCTAGCATCCTGGGAGGGTCCTGTTCGGGGTTCAGGACCCCTGTGTCCTCTCCTGTGTGGGAACTAGATAGAGGTCTGGGAATTCTGAGAGAGTATGGGGGTTGGGGGGGGGTGCTACATAGCTTCCAGCCAGGGACCCTGGATGGGCTGTGCGACCCCAGAGGAGTGAACAGGTCAGCAGAGTGACGGGGCTCCCCCTGGACTCATAGTAGTCATGGCTCTTAAGAGATCAGACTGCTCCAAACCAGGTCCTCCCTATCTTCTCATGTTAGTGTTGCCCCAAACATAAGTGGAATACTGCTCTGTGCCACATGCTTTGTCAGGCCCGATGGCAGATGTAAACGCGGAAGGTCTGCCTCTGAGCCTGGGGACAGGGGAGACAAAGGCCTAGATCTAGAGCGGTAGTCACCTGCACTCTCCTGGCCAGCATGAAGTGCGTGCTGTGGCCACCCTGAGAGCACAGCAGTTTGCACAATGCGAGGGCATCTCTGACTCTGTCTGGATGCATCCTAGGGGAGTTACAGTGACATGGGCTGAGCAGGGGGATAAAGTTCCGCAGTGTCTTTCTAGGCCCTCCCCCAATCATCCCCTGTCCCCACTTCTCGCCCAGCCTGCTACTGTGGTGCCGCGTCTCTCCAGGTCCCCAGCTCATGCTGTCTAGCCCAGGACCTGGCTTGCCCCAGGTACTCTTTTGGCCCTGCCTGTACTCCTGGTCCCGCCTCTTGAATGCAGTCCATGCCTGGCAGTGTCCCTGAGTCCCCCCACTGCCTTCTTAACAAGCTGACCTCACCTCTGCACCCCACAAACCTCCTAAGCCCCTACATTCCTCAATATCGCCCCCTCTCATCCCAGTTCCAGGCCCAGCATCTCTCACCTGCGAGCAGGATACCTTCCTTCCCTTTCCATGTTGCACCTTGTACCTTCTCCAGTAAAATTAGCATTTTACAACGCATTATAATTTATTTGCCCTGAGCCTGGCAAGGCTGGACATTCCAGAAAATCCACAGGGATTTCCTCAGCTACCCTCTGCCCACCCCTCCTGACCCTCAGCTCCAGAAGGAGTTATAAATCTTATGAACCTACACAATTTGTAGCACACTTTCTCCTAGTCATCCTATATTTTTACAGCATTGTCCTTTAGTTTGTATTCCTATCACCAGTCACTGTTTACTGAGAGTTCAGTAAATATGAGATGGCCTTCACTGATGCCTTGGGAGACCAGGCCAACCCACAGAGAGCATCATCCCTCACCAGCTTACATCTCCAGCATACAGCTGTCAGCTGTGGAGCTGAACTGGACACAGCTCCCATCCTCAGGGAGGTGTCTCATTGCTCACACTAAAGGGAGACAAGTTAACAGACCCCGACATGCAGAGTGACCAGGGGCTGTAAATGAAGGCCTAGCTGGGGCGGGGGTGCTGACAGCCAGAGCTAGGATCCTCCTCCAGGATAGTGGTGAATCTGAAGGAGTGTTAGGAGCGGTTTGCAGGTATGGTCACTTTAGCTGGGGGCTTATGTGCAAAGGCAAAAAAAAAAAAAATGCCAGAAGCTTGGGACGCTTCCCATGGTTCACTCTATCGGGAGCAGAGTGCAGATTTCAATTCAGGGGGTCCTGGGAGGGGAGCATGGAGAGGTAGGCAGAAGCCAGTATGTGGAAACGTTGAGGCCAGGCTGGGGCCTGCAGGCTTTGGGCGGCACAGAAGGGTTTTTATGTGGGCCAGTGATGTGGTCAGGTGTGTGTTTTAGAAACATCACTCTCTGGCGTTTAGTGGAGGACGGATCAAAGGCAGCAAGCCCGGAGACAGAGAAACCAGTGCGGAGGCCGCCCGGTCATCCAGGCTGGACTTGAAGGAGACTTACACCTGGTAGAGGCTGAGGCTGGGATGCAGAGGTGGCTTCAGAGGGAGGAGGATGGCGGCCAGGCCTGGGTTGGCGGGAGCGTGCCAGGGAGCAGGCTGGGCACAGGCCGTGGGTGGTTGGCATGAGGGCGTTGGTTCACAGTGGGAAATAGAGTGGGCTCAGTGGGTCTGGAAGAATCCACATTTGATGTGGCTGGTGGGACCCAGGGAAGCTTTGGCGGTTTTGAGCAGGGAGTGACTTGAAAAAGGCCATGTACTAGAGAGGCTGGGGCTATACAGGCAGTGAGGAAGGCTGAGCAGGGGCTATCTGGCCGGACGGCGTGGCCAGAATCCCACAGTCAGGTAAGAGCTGCGTGTGGACAGTGGCGGCAGATACAGAATAGAAAGGACAAGTCCAGGAGCGGTGTCCAAGCCAGCAGGACTTGATCAGTGCTGGACGGGGCCCACAGCTGTGGGACAAGAAGTGAGTCTCAGAGAAGTGAGAGCAGTTTCTCCTCTTGGTGATTGGGAGAATGGGCGTGTCATGTCAAAGGCAGGGAACTTGGAAAGAAAAGCCATTGGGAAATGGAAACCGGGGAAGGGAAGTATGGTTTGGGGCATGGGGTCCAGGGGGTGGTGACCAGACATCAGGCAGGCAGCTGGAGACCCTGGAGCCCTGGTGGCTGCAGCGGTGCTGGTGGAAACCTCACTCCTAAAGGACAGGAGTGAGCAGAAAGAGGACAGAGGTGGCAGTGCGCTCTGTGTGGGGCCGGGAGGAGGGAGAAGAACCAGGAAAGAGGCAGGTGCGGGAGAAGAGTCTTAGGGCCACACAGGGGGTGGCCCGGCATCCCATGAAGGTGAGTGAAGGACAGGAGAGTGAGGAGGGTGGAGGCAACCGAGATGAAAGGCCACATGCAAGAATTCCGAGAGCGAGCCTGGCATGGGTAGTGGGCTGCGGAGGGCACAGGTGGAGGCCCCCCCGGTCCAGAGGCAGCTGGACCTCTCAGAGGAGGCAGGATGGGGGAGAAGGCAGAGCTGGGGCAAGGTCCAGGCCCCAACACTGGCTGACTTGGCCCCTCCCCTCCACAGTGTGGCGCTGGCCCCTCTCCCTGCTTCTCTCTTACTTCATCTTCAACAGGTTTTAACACCTCTGTTTCTCAAACTCGGGTGCTTTCCTTTTCTCCTGGGCCACTGTCCCCTATGCGGAAATGGAGCCCCCCTCCCCATCTCATCGTTCTGCTCTGTGAAGCCTTCTCTGACCGCCCCACTTCTCCCAAGCCCAGGCCAGGTACCCTGCTCAGTGCCCTGTAGTGCCCCACACTCCCATGAGGCTGGGAGCTTTGTGAAGAAGGAACTTGGCCTGCCTAGTTCATGGTTATACCTCCTGGCACCTAGTGTGATGTCTGGTACACGGCAGGGGCTCAGTAAATATTTGATGACTGATTGAATGGATCTCATTTAATGCTCTCAACAACCTCGGCCCATCCCTATTGACAGATGAGGAACCTGGGGTTCAGATGAGTTCGGTGATTTGTCCAAGGCCATACACGTTCTTAGGTGACATGCAGGATCCTAACTTAGGTGCTCAGCGCTCTAGGTTCACCAGGAGTGCTTTTCCCACGTGCACCACCAACAAAGAAGTGTCTCAGGGAGAGGGCGCCAGGTAGCCCTGGGGGGCATGACTCCAACCTGTGTCTCCGACACACACACACAGGTGTTAGCCCCACGAGTCTCAGGGGGACCCTGAGAGGTTTTCCAGGGCCCTGCAGGTGTGGTCACAGGTGTGGAAGAGTCAACCTGGAGAGGACAGGGGACTGACCGCCAGGCCGGTGGCAGGAGCCGTGATGAAAGCATTTGCTTCCCTCCCCAGGAGCGGCTCCTGTTGTCTGTCCTTCCCCGCCATGTTGCCATGGAGATGAAAGCAGACATCAACGCCAAGCAGGAGGACATGATGTTCCATAAGATTTACATCCAGAAACACGACAACGTGAGGTAGGGGTGAGGCAGTGGGGTGCGGGGTGGGGGGTGTGAGGGCGCACCCGGAGGGCTGAACCTGAAAGGGAACGACAGTCCCACCCCCTCCCTTTCAAGGGGGCACCGCCCAACAGGGTGGTGGCTTTGGAAAGGGTGCTGTGTGGGGTGCCTCTCTCGGTCTATTAAGTGGACTATTATTAGGGGGAGGGGGAGTGAGGCTGCAGGGAGAGGATACAGAAGGAATGGGAAAGGAGAAAGCGACACCGCCAGCTGTTGGGGAAACTCCTACCTTAACAAGGGAGACAGAAAAGCACAGACTTGGGACCCAAATGTCTCCACCATCCTCTCCATGTTCACCACCATCCAGTGGCTTCCAGGCCTGCTAAGCCAGTGCGTGCCAGGCACTGGACCAGCTTTGCCCACATCACAGCTAATCCTCCGGGCAACCCTATCAAGGTGCGGTCCCTTATCAGCATCCCTGGTTCAGAGATTGAGCTCAGAATGGCTAAGACCCTTGGCCCAGGGTCGCTTAGCCAGGAGTGGTAAAGCTGGGGTGCACCCAGGTGGGCCCGCCCCAGAGCCCACGCTCCTATCAGTGAATGTTTGCTGCTTCCCTAGACAGAAGCCACTGACAGCAGGGACATGCAAACAGATGTAGATTAATAGAGTGCAAAATCTGCTTATGACTTCCATGGGGACATGAAGTGATACGGTGGCCTTCATCCAGCAGGGCCCGATAACCCTCCTGTATGCCCAGAAAAGGAGCTGCTGAGTTTGCCTTCAAGAGAATTCCTTGCTCCCTGGGCAGGTTTTCCTAGACCCCCAAGTCCCCTGAGGTTGGTGTAGAGAGAGACCATTGGAGACTGGGGCTGAGTTGTCAATAAAGGGATTAAATGGAATAATGTAAATTACACATACACCCACACCCACACATGCATGCACACAAAACACACACACAAATATACAGCCATTCAAGGCGAGGCTGATGGCAGCAGGGGTGGGGAGGGCGCTGTGTTTTCATGCAGAGCAGAAAGAATTGCTCAGTTCCCATGTATGCCCTAGAATCTAAGACTGGGTTCTGCCTGCATGACCTCTATCTACCTCTCAAAACAGACTAAGCTTTTGGGAGACAAATGTCCCTACACACTTTTGTCCCCAGGTTTTGGGGTAATCCCAGCCTCCTTGAAGCCCACCCTCACTCCACTGGGACAATGCAGCCAGCAGCAGCCCTGGTCGGGCAGGAAGAAGGCTGCCCCGGCGGGGTTTCCAACCTAGGTGATATCCTGAGGGGGCTGCAGGCTCAGCTGCTGGAGCTCAGAGAGGGAAGTGGTATCCGAGCCTTGGTAGGGAGCTCTGACGGCTGGTTTTCTCACACCCACCTCTGTCCTCACATGGTGGAATAATTGCTAACCACAATAATTAATACTTGTAGAGAGCTTTCTGTAACCCACGTACTATGCTAAGTGCTTTCATTCACTTAGTCCCCACAATAAATATAAGAAGTTGGTACTCTTTATTATCTCCATTTTACCGGTAAGGAAACTGAGGCACAGAGATTAACTTGTGTCAAGCAAGATCCCTTAGCTGGTTAAGCGGGAGAATTGCCCCCAGAAAATGTTTTGATACCAGTTTTTACCTAGCCTGCCAACTGGACAGATGTTTTTTATATGCCTAAGAGAAAGGAGTTCATTTGATATTGTGTGGGTAAGAGTCTTGGGGAGTCCCTAGGCCAAGAGGAAGTTCAGAGGAGAGAGTTTTGGCTTCCAGCGTGCGTGCGTGCGTGCGTGTGTGTGTGTGTGAAACGGAGGACCCACCAGGGGCTTTTCTTGCCTGATAGCAGTCCCTGAAACCTGTAGTACTCCATCTTATATAAAGAAACGGCCTTTCCTGTTAGAACAAATCCCAGAGATCGCAAGGTTCATGTGGGAAGGAGTGACCTGCCAAGTGGTCCCAACACATATGAAGCCCTGAGCTCCCCCACCCCTTCTGGAATTTTCTCTCGGTCTTATCTTCACCACCTCACTGGCCCTGACATTGTTCCAGGCAGAGCATGGACGAAAGGTGCTTTCCTTGATTGCTGTTAGCACACAGAACTTGCAACAGATGTCACTAACTGTAAAGTGGAATACAAAGGAAATCCAGAAAATTTGCTGCTCAGAAACAATCTGTCATCCAAGACACAGGTTCTCAGCCTGGCTTGGCTAACACATCTGGCACATCTGGCCGCACTGCCTCTGCCCAGTCCCTTGCCCTCTCCCCCACCACAGGCATCATCTTACTTCGCATCCCACAGTTGCTCGCTCTTGGGTCCCCAGCCCTCCAGCAAGGGTGTTTGGTCAGAGGCCCGACTCAGGCCTCTTCCACCACCACAAGGAATGGCCCACCCTCCTGGTGACACCCCTCTCACCCTGCCACCCCCACAGAGGCTGTGACTTTGGTCGATAAAAGAGCAGTGTCCTAATTACAGAGCGGCT